AAGGCATACCGATCTTGTCTCGTTGAATCATTGGATGAAGAATTACTTAAGCGTTTGACAAAGGTATACTGCTTTTAAAAAAAATTCTATCATGCCTGAAAGAACATCGATACAAGAATCTTCAGTTTTCCTCTGAAAAAGCAATAGTGTTAACAATGGTTTTGTTTATAATTGTCATGCAGGTCGCCCAATTCTTGTCTTGGGAACTTGGACTTGAATCTGATGCAAATGCTATTATTTCAAATGGAAGGGTGTGTAAACCATCTTTTATCCTTTTCTGTAATTATATAGATTGTTTAATACTATTTACGTATCCTTAGCGTTAGTTCCAATTGTATATTTATGAACCTTCCTCACATTCAAGTATATATTTGACTAGGTGATATTTCCTGTGGATGAGAGGACATTTTTGGGCCAAGATTTACATCTTCTTGAGTCAATGGAGTTCAATCAAAGAGTAAAGCCTGTTCAAGAAATTATTGAAGGCATTGAATGGCAAGATGTGGATCCCGATCTGCTCACAAGGTCTCTTGTTTCATGCGTTAACTGTTTCTTCTTGTCTGCCAAACCAAAACTTTAAACAGAAATTTTTTAATCTTATGCTTTTTCTTGTCAATTTTTTTCGTCCTAGTTCTTGGTGAGCAAAGCTTCTTTTTGCTGCACAATTTTTTTTCTTCTAGATTTGGCTCTTGCTGCTTATTTTATATAGGCTTTATTCACTCTCTAGACTGATGTTTCTTCTTCTAGGAGGGATGATCCCATGTATGTTCTGAAAATAGCTGATAGGATATGGTTCTTCACTTCTTTTAGGAATAATCCCTTGCATGGTTTGAAAAATAGCTGATAGAATATTGTTTTTTTATTTTTTCACACTTGCAGTAAATATTTTAGCGATGTCTTCATGTTTGTGTCATCTGCAATGGCAACACGGGATCGTAGTTCTGAAAGTGCACGGTTTGAGGTGTTGAATTCAGAGTACAGGTATATAGACTGGCTATATTGGTAGTTGCTTTTCTTTTCAATTTTTTTGGGAATTTAAGGCTATGCAACTAAGATGTCCATACGTTGTGTAGTGCGGTTTTGCTGGGAAATGAAAATGCAACGATACACATTGATGCTGTTATCGATCCTTTAAGTCCTACTGGTCAAAAACTAGCATCACTTCTTCAAGTTCTACAGAAACATGTTCAGACGAGCATGAGGATTGTTCTGAATCCCATGGTGAGTAAAATATATACAGCTAACCTTATTATTGGGAAATCACTTGAATGTCAAACTTAATGTTCTGAGCCACCTAGATGTTTAAAGGACTTATTCTTCTGGCTTTATTGTGGTTACTGGTACTCTTGCTGAGATCAATATTTTTATGATGTTACAGCTGCCTTACTGATGTGGTTAATTATGGGTATTTTTCATGTGTATTATGTTTCAAGGGTAATTGTTTCTTATTGGAAAAAAGGAAAATACATATTGTTCATGCGTCTGACCTAGAGTTCTTAATTCTTCTTATTGGCAGAGTTCCCTTGTGGACATTCCTCTGAAGAATTACTACAGATATGTCTTACCTAATACGGTATGTTATTTAAAAAGATGTTAATAAAATTATATGACGATCTGGTATTGCCCATATTCTCTGATCAAATATTGATTCTGCTATGTATTTTTTTTCAGGACGATTACAGCAGTACAGGCTTTGACGTAGATGGGCCTAAGGCATTTTTCGCAAATATGCCATTGTCTAAGACACTTACCATGAATCTTGACGTTCCAGAGCCATGGCTTGTTGAACCAGTAATTGCCATGTATGGTATTTTCCCCTGAAAAAGAAAATGGGATTATGCTGTTCTTTTTGGCTCAAAATATTTGTCATGGCATTTGCTTGTTTAGTTCACTTATTTTTGCTTATGCCTGACCTTCTGCTTTTTTTTTCTCTCTTCTGGATTTGGCTTTGTCCAGTCATGATCTTGATAATATATTGCTTGAGAACCTGGGAGATACCACTACACTGCAGGCAGTTTTTGAGGTTGAATCTCTTGTTCTTACAGGTTAGCTTTTCTAAACTTATTCTTCAACGCTGGATGGTTTTGTTCATGTTATTATTAACATAACCCTTGCACAGGTCATTGCGCGGAAAAAGATCATGAGGCTCCTCGTGGCCTTCAGCTGATTCTGGGAACCAAAAATAGACCGCATTTGGTTGATACCCTTGTAATGGCCAATTTGGGTTATTGGCAGATGAAAGTATCCCCAGGGGTTTGGTATTTGCAACTTGCTCCGGGTAGAAGTTCTGAGCTATACGCTTTGAAAGGAGGAAATGATGGGAGTCAAGATCAATCCTCACTGAAACGTATTACTATCGATGATCTGCGTGGTAAAGTTGTTCATCTAGAAGTAGTTAAGAGAAAGGGTAAGGAGCATGAAAAGTTGCTAGTTCCTTCAGACGGTGATGATGGTGTGCAGCAAAACAACAAAGTAAGTGCTACTTTACTCGAATAGAAGATTTACATAAAAACTATTGGTCTTTAAAAATGCTGGTTATTTATTCTCTGATGACGCTCTTTTGTTTTAGCGAGGAAGCTGGAACTCAAATTTCTTGAAATGGGCGTCTGGTTTTGTTGGTGGTCGTCAACAATCAATGAAGGGAGGTCCCGAAAAAGTGAGTAGCTTTTGTAATCTGGACTAACTTTTATGATTGTTGTAAACCTGTTGCATCTAACTTCTGCATGATTCTAACTTGGGGGCTACCTTTGCAACAATTTTAATCAAGCTATTTCTATTTATCATCTTTTCAGGAGCATGAGAAGGGTGGGCGACAAGGGAAAACGATAAATATATTCTCCATCGCTTCAGGGCATTTGTAAGCGCTATCATTTTTCTAACCTGCTTGACCACACACATTGACATAATATAATCAAGTGTGTTGAACCATTTTAGATAATCTGAATTACCTTAAGTGCATCAAGCATATAAAAAGAAAATCATGCATGGTATTTCTACGTCTATATGTGGATATTCATGTGCATAAGTGTATTATGTGAACAAAAAAAGTTTAATATATGATTTGTTGGTATCAATTCCTTTCTGATGCCGAGGCATTGCTTATGACAGATACGAGCGTTTCCTTAAGATCATGATTCTCAGTGTCCTGAAGAACACCAATCGTCCTGTAAAATTCTGGTTTATTAAGAATTATCTCTCTCCTCAATTTAAGGTTGGCTCCTTTTTTCTTTGCTTCCACATATGTTTTTTTGTTTGTATCTATTTATGTCTTCTTATCTCTAGATGCGAACTTATCACTAGTTTTTCTAGCCACTTTAACTTAATGTGTATCGTATTCTAACCTTGCAGGATGTGATTCCACATATGGCACAAGAATACAACTTTGAGTATGAGCTGATTACATATAAATGGCCTTCCTGGTTGCATAAACAGAAAGAAAAGCAACGAATTATTTGGGCCTACAAAATTCTTTTCCTTGATGTTATATTTCCTCTCTCATTGGAAAAGGTACAGATGATCATATCTTCATTTCTTTCTTGCGATTTTGATGCTTAGAAGATGCCGCTGTAAGGCATTCGACATGTATTCTGCAGGTTATATTTGTCGACGCAGATCAAATTATAAGGACAGACATGGGAGAACTGTATGATATGGATATCAAAGGAAGACCTCTCGCATATACTCCTTTTTGTGACAACAACAGGGAAATGGATGGCTATCGATTTTGGAGACAGGTATACATTAATCTGTTTTTTTTAGGCCTGTAGAGGTAATTTTGGTTTCCTTACTCTTACATTCTCAATTGCTTTGAACAGGGTTTCTGGAAAGAACATTTACGTGGTAGGCCATACCATATCAGGTAAACAAACTAACTTCACTTGAACCTCAGTACGTTGTTACTTTTCCTATTTTTGATGTGCCTTGTTCTATCTGTAGTGCTCTGTACGTTGTTGACTTGGTTAAGTTCCGAGAGACAGCGGCAGGAGATAATCTAAGAGTATTTTATGAGACGCTTAGCAAGGATCCAAATAGTTTGTCCAACCTAGATCAGGCAAGTTGTACAATATGATTCTCTCTACTTAGAACATTCTACTACTGGTTGGACTTATCTTCTCAAGTTCTACTTGTTGATGGCATGGCATTATCTTGTTTCAGGATCTTCCTAATTATGCTCAGCATACTGTTCCTATATTTTCACTTCCCCAAGAGTGGTTGTGGTGTGAATCTTGGTGTGGAAACGCCACAAAAGCCAAGGCCAGAACAATTGACCTTTGCAATAACCCCATGACAAAGGAACCAAAGCTTCAGGTAAGCATTGTTTTTCCAAGCTTCCCTAGGAATTTTTTCTTCATATCCACAACACTCATAAAGCATTGTTTGTTAAATGTGGTGTTTCATCTGCAGGGTGCCAGAAGAATCGTAACTGAATGGCCCGATCTTGATCTCGAAGCCCGGAAATTCACAGCAAAAATCTTGGGTGAAGATGTGGAACTCGTCAACGAGCCAGTAGCTGCTCCTGCTACAGACAAGCCTAACCCTCCTCCATCAAGTGACATCTCTAAAGATACAGAACAAGACTTGGAATCTAAAGCAGAACTGTAAATGCCAAGTTCCTAAAGAGGAGAAGATAAACTAGACAATCATGGCTATTTTGCAATTGCTAGATAAGGTTTCTAGTTTTGTAGCTACAGTCTTCGTAGACATCTCTCAGATAAATTAGACAGAAGATAAAAGTCAACCAAAAATGCAGGAGAATAATGTCAGTACAATATAATTTTGAATCAATTACGAAACTCATCTGTTTGTAAACTTAAGTCATACGTAATTACGTATCTAATCACTTTTGGTTTAGCGGATTTATCGACGTCACCTACCACAAAATCAAATACTCGTCCAAAATCTCAAATTGGTTCGACACACCAAGAAGAAAACCGAACCGGAATTTTGAAATCACGTGTCAGTGTCTGTATAAAAAGCAACACGTGTTCTTGGAGCAAAGAAACGTCGACACAGTTTTCAATTCTCAGCAGACAGATCGATCACACTCCATCTAACATCAAATTCTTGAACCTTCAATCGATTTCGTGGATTGTGTAACCCTAGATTCCTAAAATTGATTCCTTTTGTAAATTTCTGTAAGATCGTTTAGTTCAGAGAGTGAAATCAATGGAGGGTTCGTCGTCGACGATGGCAAGGAAGACATGGGAACTCGAGAACAACATTCGAACAGTAGACTCACCTGATTCAACCTCCGATAACATCTTCTACTACGACGATACTTCGCAGAGTAGGTTCCAGCAAGAGAAGCCATGGGAGAATGATCCTCACTACTTTAAACGAGTCAAGATCTCAGCGCTCGCTCTTCTTAAGATGGTGGTTCACGCTCGCTCCGGTGGCACAATTGAAATAATGGGTCTTATGCAAGGTAAGACTGATGGTGATGCTATCATTGTTATGGATGCTTTTGCTTTGCCAGTGGAAGGAACTGAGACAAGGGTTAATGCTCAGGCTGATGCTTATGAGTACATGGTTGAGTATTCTCAGACCAACAAGCTCGTAAGTGTTGTGAATACTTGTTGTTACTTTGATACCAGATTGTTACTCTTTGTGAAGCATCAAAGTTTTGATTTTTCCTTTGGTTACCTTTTAAAGTATCTATATAAGTCAGAACAGTTAGATTGATTATGGTTATAACTTGACCTTTATAAGGCGGGGCGCTTGGAGAATGTTGTTGGATGGTATCACTCTCACCCTGGATATGGATGCTGGCTCTCTGGTATTGATGTTTCTACGCAGAGGCTTAATCAACAGTATCAGGAGCCATTTTTAGCTGTTGTTATTGATCCAACAAGGACTGTTTCAGCTGGTAAGGTTGAGATTGGTGCATTCAGAACATACTCTGAAGGATATAAGCCTCCGGATGAACCTGTTTCTGAGTATCAGACTATTCCTTTAAATAAGATCGAGGACTTTGGAGTTCACTGCAAACAGGTACATTTTCTTGATTTTTCTCATTGGAAGCTCCCAACATGATTCTTATGTTTGGCTTTTGGTTTTGGCAGTACTATTCATTAGATATCACTTATTTCAAGTCATCTCTTGATTCTCACCTTCTGGATCTACTATGGAACAAGTACTGGGTGAACACTCTTTCTTCTTCTCCACTACTGGGAAATGGAGACTATGTTGCCGGACAAATATCAGACTTGGGTAAACTCTTGGATATGGCCTATGAAAATATAGTTTACTCTGTATAATAGGTAATGTGTTGATTGTGTTCTAATCATTTAATAATCATACCGATGAAGCTGAGAAGCTTGAGCAAGCGGAGAATCATCTGGCTCATTCTCGCTTTGGGGGAACTGTGCCATCATCCCTTCATAGGAAAAAAGAGGTATGTGTGAGTGCTACATTTCCACACCCCACTTCTTGAGGTTTTTTCCTATGTAAAACTTCTACATCTGGCTAGTTAAGTACCACCGTAAACATCTAGCTTCTAAGATGATAGATCTTCAAATGTTTTGGTTGTTGGGGCCTTGGCGGTGTTTTGTTTTGTTGAAAAGAAGTTGTTGTTGAAGTTTGTACAGATATATAACTTTAGAGAATGTTAATGGGTGTTGCGTATAGTCAAAAGAATAAGATGCTTGTTAAAGATCTCATTTGACTTGTGTTCTAAATCACTTTCAGGATGAGTCTCAACTAACTAAGATAACTCGGGATAGCTCAAAGATAACTGTGGAACAGGTCCATGGACTAATGTCACAGGTGAGTAATAATCTGAAACGTAATGGTGTTATATCTTTCCCTAATAATATTCATGGATCTCACAGGCTCAAAATTCATCAATGTTGTACTTGTAGGTCATCAAAGATGTATTATTCAACTCAATACGTCAGTCCAACAACAAATCTCCCACTGACTCGTCGGATTCAGAGCCTATGATTACATCTTGAAGTTGTTCTTCTTTTGGTTTCTAGTTTTGGATGTGACCTATCCTTTGTTGTTATGTAGTTGTCATTACAATTTTTTTCTGTTGTGTAAAGAACTTAAGGCCGAAATGTTCTCCTGCAAGTCTAGATTTTCCTATAGCAGCGTACTCTCGGGTATTAACTAAACACGATAACCCGACTCACTCTTCGAAAAAATCCCTCGTTGATCATAGAGTTTTACTCTGTTTAAGCACACCTCAAAACTCGGCTCCACTTGTATTTCACCTTGCAATTAAGATCGGTTATCAAGTGTTTTGTTACGTGAGGATCAGCCCATTAGATTCGTCGGGCTTAAAGGAATAATCGGAAGCCCCGTTTAAAACTTGTATTTATGGAACTCAGTAAATTAATGGTTTAAGAAGTCAATGTTTTTGGCAGGAGAGGAGAAAGAAGAAGGAAAAACACAATAACATTGCATCTTCAAGAACTTTATTTTCATATGGACCTATGACCACTAAACTCTGTCTTATCTTGTTTAACTATATTTATAGGTAATGTGTTCTAAGCATTTTCACAAATCGTATTCATAATTTTTCTGTTGTGTAACACAATTTGAAGGCAAATGAGAATGGATTAAAATGGAATAATATTGGGTTAAGGAATCGTGGGGACATGGTTTGATATTTATTTGAGAATAAAGACATAAAAGATGAAACTAGAAAGCAATAATTTACTAAGACCCAAAAAAAAAAGGTGGTGTTTTGCTACCGTACGCCTCTCTCTCCAAAGCTTTTTTTTCAGCTACAGAAAATGGCGCAGAGAGTCGGAGGATTGAAAAGATTGAAACTTTCTTCTTCAACTCCAGATTTTCCTATTGTTTTCCGTTGTGATGGAGTTCGTGTTCATCGACGTTGCTCTTTCTCCAGAAATTGTTCTTCTAATCGAAAGCAAAGACTCCGAATTGTGGCTCAGAATAAATGGAAATTGAACGATATCGACCCAAGTAAGACCTTCTTCTTCCTCTTCGAATTCGAATCTCTGGAACAGCTACTTAGTTTCTTTGGTGTTCTTCTATGGCAGATGCAGTACAAGAACGATTTAGTAGGTGGGTGTCTAAATCACAGAAAATTCTGAGTGATGTGACCTCTCCGCTGAAGAAAAAGAGTCAGAGTCTCAAAAAGGTTGATCTTGATGATCAACAAGATTTTGAAGACTTGGAGGAACTTCTTACAGTTGAACAAACAGTTCGAAGTGATACACCAAAAGGATCTCTTTCTTTTGATGCTATTATCTCCATCGAGCAGTTTAGCAGGTGAGCTAATTTAAAAACAACAACAGGATCATTGAATCATCTTCACTTGTGGTTGTTGTAAAAGTTTTCATTTTTCTTCGACCCTTTATAAGCAGGATGAATGGAATCACTGGGAAGAAAATGCAGGATATATTTGAAACACTTGTTTCTCCAGCTTTATCAACCGATGCTCGATATCTGGTGGAGTATTGCTGTTTCAGGTTTTTATCGAGGGATAGCTCGGAGTTTCATCCGTGTCTTAAGGTATCTGGAAACTGGGATGCTTTACACTAACTCTTATCAAGTTTTTTAGTTTCAGAAATGGATTAGTCCTTACATTGTTAACGTCTTTTACATTGTTTATTGGTTTCTGAACCATTGAAACTTATCTCTTCACAGGAACCTGCATTCCAGAGGCTAATATTCATCACAATGCTCGCGTGGGCGAATCCATATTGTAAAGAAAGAAATGCACGCAATGATGCCTCAGTTAAACCTTCTTTTCAGGTATTTCTTAGAGTCTTTTGGCTTATATGAGGTCAAAAAGTTCTTTATTGTGGAATTGAATCTTATTGTTGCTCTGAAGGTTGGTTGTGGTAATAGTATAAACAAACAAAGTTTGTGACAAACAAAGTTTGTGATATCAGATAGTATTCTGCTCTTTGAAATGCTGGGATAGCAGATCAATATTGATGAAAGGTTATTGGTGTTGAAGGGACGGTTTGTAGGTGAAAAAGCATTTGTTCGTATTGCTCCAGCAATTTCAGGCTTGGCTGATAGGGCTACTGTACATAACCTTTTCAAGGCTCTAGCTGCTGCCACTGATCAAAAAGGCATTTCTTTGGAGATTTGGCTTGCTTACATCCAGGAACTTGTCAAGTGAGTATGACATTTGGGTTGTTTTCCACTACTGGTTTCAATTTCAGATAGTGTGACTGTTAACTTTTTGAATAGCGTGCATCTAAAATCTTTGTGCATTCGATGATATCATTAGTTTGTAAGCACTTAGGAGTTAGGAGTTTACATATATGATGCTCCTTTAAACTTAGCTTCCTGTTTGATTATTTATGGACTCAATATTGCTTTTCAAGCTGAATATCTATCTTCTCGTGCTAGTAGAATTTAAATGTATGTGAACCCCATTAACTTAGCTTTTTGCATAGATAAACATAAACCCGACGTTGTTTACCTAGCTGAGTATCTTTCCATTGTCAGAACAGAATACACGAAGGAAGGAAGTCACACCAGACTACAGACTTTCCAAAGTTGTCATCGGAGAGACTTTTATGCATGGCCTCTAACAGGAAAGGACCTGTTTTAAAGTGGGAGAATAACGTTGCATGGCCTGGAAAACTTACTCTAACTGATAAAGCTCTCTATTTTGAGGTAATTATTGTTCTTTATTTATTAAGTCCCTCGGGAAGGAGCGAGCGATTGAACACTATTTTCTATTTGCTTTGATAGATAAAGAACATTTCAGTTTTACATATTTCCTGCATAGATATGCAACGTTAGCTGGAATTCTAAGTTGTTTAATTTTAAACTTTGTGAACCCATCTCTTATTAGACTGTTCTTTTGGTGTAGAAATGAGAACCCGAAACCCTTCTCATGGTCATGCTCTTTTGGTTTCAGCCAGTTGACTTAAAGGGAAGTAAAGGGGTCTTGAGACTTGATCTCGCAGGGGACAAGTCAACTGTGGAGAAAGCGAAAGTGGGACCTCTAGGGTTTTCTCTCTTTGATTCTGCAGTTTCGGTTTCGTCCGGCCCTGGGTGAGTTCATATGTTCATGTAACTGATGTGGTTGTGATGCCTCTCGTATGGTGCCATATGTCTGGGTGGTCGTTTACCTATATGCTAACCTGTAAAATATTCATTTAGGTTGGCCACTTGGGTTTTGGAGTTCGTTGACCTAGGAGGTGAACTTAGACGAGATGTTTGGCATGCAATTATTAGTGAAGTTATAGCGTTGCACACATTTCTACGAGAATTTGGGCCAAAAGAGGATGATAAGTCAATGTACCAAGTGTTTGGTGCAAAGAAGGGTAAGGAAAAGGCAATTGCAAGTGCATCTAACTGTATTGCAAGACTTCAAGCTCTTCAATATATGCGGAATTTGCCAGATGATCCTATCAAACTAGTTCAGTTCTCTTTTCTTCAACAAGTAGCCTATGGTGACATCGTGTGTCAAACTTTAGCTGTAAATTTTTGGGGTGGACCACTATTGACCAAAGATGCAGACACGGTCTTCAAACGAGGTGATATTGCCAGGGCTTCCAGAGAGTCCTATGAAACTTTTGATAACGTGTCTGATCTAGATGGAAGTGTCTACTTGAAAAGGTGGATGAGATCTCCTTCCTGGGGTTCAACTGCATCCATTAACTTCTGGAAAAACTCTTCTCTAAGACAAGGCTTAGTTCTGAGCAAACACCTTGCAGTTGCTGATCTCACACTTGTAGAGAGAGCAGCAGAAACATGTAGACAGAAATATAAGGTGGTAGAAAAAACTCAAGCCACTATTGATGCTGCAACCATCAAAGGGATACCTAGTAACATTGATCTCTTTAAGGTAACACTTTTTCTCTATTAATAGTTTTTGCTACAAATATTGTTTCAGACGGTTTCCTAATTCTTTATGTATAGACAAATTTCATCTTTTGTGTGCAATGCACTCATTATTTGTAGTATTTTTTCATTACCTTGCAAACTATTATACAAAAGTTTTTTCATTACCTTGCAAACTATTATACAAAAGTAAAATTAGCAGAGACCATAGTGACTCAATGTTGTCTTTCTACTCTTATCTTTCACTCCCAGGAACTCATTCTACCACTGAGTATAACTGCCACAAAGTTTGAGAAACTCAGGTGCTGGGAGGAGCCTTACATGACGGTCTCTTTTCTAGCATTTGCATCAACGATAATTTTCAGGTTAGTTCACACCCAGACATGTGATACCATGTATCTCGTGCACGTTACATTCAGAATGATTCTTAGGTTTAAGACTTGTGTTGCATGCATAGAAATCGTATTATTGTTGCTTCTTTAAGTTAGAAATTTTTATATCCTCATTGCTGCTTTGTAATTAATTGATACCACTGAGGATACTTTTCTGCGCCTCAGGAATCTTTTGCAGTACGTTTTTCCTGTGTCTTTGATATTTTTGGCAACTGGGATGCTTACGTTGAAGGGACTCAGACGACAAGGCCGTCTAGGAAGATTGTTTGGAATAGTTACCATTCGAGATCAGCCATCTTCAAATACTATTCAAAAGATTATTGCTGTAAAAGACGCCATGCAAAATCTGGAGAGCTATCTCCAAAAGGTGAATGTAGTGCTTCTAAAACTACGGACAATTGTATTATCTGGTCATCCTCAGGTATGTTCTAACACTGGATCAGGTTTTAGAGCTTCTTATTGTCATGCCTTCTTCTCTCTCTTACTTCGTAATTTTGGAATTGGTACAAGAATCATGTGATTTTTTGCCATTGATAGTGGTTGTGATAGGTAACTATATATTTGCCATTGATAGTGGTCGTGATAGGTAACTATTTTTTGCTGTTATATAACCTGGTTACACTATTTGAAAATTTTCGCAGATAACTACTGAAGTAGCACTGGTTTTGCTATCTATTGCAACGGTTCTAGTCATTGTCCCTTTCAAGTATGTTCTGGCTTTTGTTCTCTACGATCAATTTACTCGGGAGCTCGAGTTCCGGAAAGAAATGGTCAAGAAATTTAATGCTTTCTTACGGGAACGTTGGGAGATGGTACCAGCAGCTCCTGTCATTGTTTTACCGTTTGTAAGTGAAGAGTCTACACCAGCAACTCAGGAAAACAAGCAGCTCAGAAAACAAACACAGAGAGATGATTGATAAAGAGTGCCAAAATTTGTATAATCTAGTGGCAGGTGCATGTTTTAGATACACTAGAAGCTCAAGAAGGAACAAATATCAAATTGTAGTTGACAATGATTCATTAAATGTATATAAAAAGTAGTATAGATGTTAGTTTATTATGTTTATCGCTCAGCTCCTTAGAAACCTATTTCCAAAACTTGTCAGCCTTAAGAGATTCATTACGATTCGCGCGTGGCAACTCTATCCGTTATAGTCTCAGATAATCTTGTGCTCAGTTATTTCTTTTGATCTTTATCCGAATAGGGTGAGAAACTCCGTCATGGTCATGTCTCCTTGCGTATGCATTTTTAGTCTCTTATTATGGAAATTTCAAGCATGATGCAAGCTTTTTGACTCGCTTACATGCAAGCAAGCAGTCGAAACGTGAGAGAGAGGAGCAGTTACAAATTGAATCAGAAATTCCGGAAGATAACTCCTTTGTGTCACATGCAGCATGTTTTGCTTAGACCTTTTATATATCAATCTTTCTATATTCAGAAGCTAATTAAAATGAACACAAACAGACAGAAGATGAAAGTTCATATTGGAAGATATGTGTTGATACTTGCCGTGACGGCTTCTGTTATATTACAGCAGCCTGAGTTGGTCACCGGACAAGCTAGAATTCCGGCTATGTTTGTATTTGGAGACTCATTGGTCGATCCTGGGAACAACAACTTTATACAAACTCTAGCTCGAGCAAATTTCCTCCCTTATGGCATCGATTTGAACTTCCGTCCTACTGGCAGATTTAGCAACGGCCTGACTTTCATTGATCTGCTAGGTAAATTTCAAACACTTGAACGAAGTCATTTGGTCAAGATTCATCATGTCTTAGTATTCTCTTATCTTACTGAAAACAGAAATAATTTTGTAAAAACAGCTCGGTTGTTACAAATTCCATCGCCTCCTGCCTTTGCCGATCCAACCACATCAGGCAATAGAATCCTCCAAGGAGTTAATTACGCGTCTGCAGCTGCTGGCATCCTCGATGAATCAGGCTTCAACTATGTATTTTTTTGAGTTTTGTGTCGTCAGTTTTAAAAGATATGATAGTGTTAAATGGATAGATGAATGATGGTGTGGTGTGCAGGGTGGAAGATTTAGCCTGAGCCAGCAAATGGTGAATCTAGAGACGACACTAAGCCAACTGAGAACGATGATGAGCCCCCAAAATCTTACGGATTACTTGGCAAAATCGCTTGTGGTTCTCGTTTTTGGAAGCAATGATTATATCAACAACTACCTTATACCTAATTCCTACTCCAGCATCAGATACAGACCGCCTGACTTTGCCAATCTACTTCTCAGTCAATACGCTCGCCAACTTCTTGTATGTTACATCAAATATTCATATGGTATTGTCCTTTAAATCAATCTTATGATAATCTTTTGAATCTATGTGTAGACTCTGTACGGCCTAGGTCTAAGAAAAATATTTATACCTGGAGTAGCACCACTAGGCTGCATACCAAACCAACGAGCCAGAGGTATTTCGCCACCTGATAGATGTGTTGACAGTGTGAATCAGATTCTAGGCACATTTAACCAAGGGTTAAGGTCACTTGTTGACCAGCTGAACCAGCGATTACCTGGAGCCATATATGTATACGGCAACACATATAGCGCAATTGGTGATATCTTAAACAACCCAGCTGCTTACGGTAAACTTCCTCTTAGATTATATGGCTGTTAAAGGGATTTTCTTCTATGCTTTCTACTTTGATTAAACAGAGTTTGTATGGTGCAGGATTCACTGTAGTGGACAGGGCTTGTTGCGGGATTGGGAGGAACCAAGGACAAATCACATGTCTGCCACTGCAGACTCCTTGTCCTAACAGGAGTCAGTATGTCTTTTGGGATGCATTCCATCCTACTCAGACTGCTAACTCCATTCTGGCTAGACGAGCTTTCTATGGTCCACCTTCCGACGCATATCCTGTCAATGTCCAACAGATGACACTCCTTCACTAGTTTCTTTTTGTTTTCGTGTTTCTCGGTCTTGAAGTTGTATGTTATAATGGTTGAATCTATCAATCTATGAGTATCAAGCTGAAACCAAAATGCTTTTACTGCAAAATAACATATGTGCTAATGAAAACAAGAAGAAGACCCATGATTAGAAGTCTTAGAGAGGACATGTTAGTTTCAAAAACAGAGCATGCCGAGTTTCGTGTGCACCAAATGACAGAAAAAAGAACACATGCATTGTCAATTTACTCCGTTCCTACAACTCCATCAGTTCATTTATCCCACTCCAGCTCTAACTGTGGATCGGTCTTTAGATGAGTAACATTCATCGGTGGCGGTGCTTCAGTATTACCTTGACCTGTTAACCGATTCCAACCCATGATGTGTGGAAGGGCAAACTGCACAAAATACAAAATCTGGTTAAAAAACAATCACAAATATCCCTTCCTTGAAGAATATATACTTGATCCATATTCATGTGATAAAACTGACAGAAGAGCAATGCTCTTTGTTTTTCCAGTCAATGTTTTTGGTTCTCGAACTGATATAATAGTAACAGAATAGAGAGAAAGCAAAATTAAAATCTTATCTTACACTAAAAGCTGTCTTCATCACTGCAAATTCAGCTTTTGTGACAGGAACCACAAAATAGTCATTGGTTTTGAGGATGCTATTGTTAACGCCTGCAACAAAACAGCAGAAGGTAAGTGTTTATACATCATTCCTATTATTATAAGGAAAGCTATTCCGTGCGAAAACTGTTACCGCCTTATTACAAAACTAATACAAGTGCAAGCTTCTATATTAACTTAACAGAAAGCTACCATAACTAACAATTTCAGTAGGATTCTGTCTGATGATCTATCACACTAGTTATATTAATTTGATAGAAGCCTTACTCAATGAGATGAAGTAGCCGCTACCATCTGCGTGGGGCTTAATTGACAATGACTTCCTGACTTGACCAGCATTACTGAGGAGTCAAAGACAAGTGTATGTCAGAAGTCAGAACACGAAAATGCTGCGGTAAAAAAGCAAGTATCTTGGAGAAATCAGCAGTAACATTATGTATTGAAGCAAAAAAACAAACCTTGATTTCATGGAAGGGTCATGGAAAAACTCAGAGCTGTCTTTGGAACCCATGCTAATCAAGGATCCAACTTCCGTAGGTGACAAAGCAAATTTCTGCAACAATGTAGCAAACAAAAACAATATTTATCAGAGGAGAAATAACACAAGTTAAGAAGATAGAGAATGTGAAAGAGAGAGCATAAGATCAAAACCTGTTTCTTTTCCCAGTCGTACTTACGCTCACCAATAGCAGGCATAAAAGTCATCATCAAGGATCCACGACGATCTATCCGAAGATTTCCCGACTAACAATTGTACTCACAGTCACAGTAAGTAATGAGAATCTAAAAGCCTTAAAGAAAACACACAAAACTAAAAAGGAAATGGATTTTGGCGTACATCGATTTCGGTGAAGCTGGGAAGAACAGGTTCAACAGAGAGAGCAGCTTTTCCCTTGAAAATAGAATAAGGTGCGAACAATCGACCACTAGGCTTTGCAGCATCTTTTCGAATCAAGTAAACAAAATTAGGGCAAGTACACTTAAACTGACGAAACGGAACAAACCAACCAAGTTCTAACCTTTACCAGAGAAACCACGTCCAGGCGTAGAAGAACTTGACCAGCTTGCAAAACCACGCAACGTCGAAGCTTTAACTCTCTCTTGGAAAAGTGACTTACTTTGGTCACAAAGGCTCCTGCTTTTACAAAAATAAACAAACCCAGAGAAGCCATTTGAGAGAAAAGGATTCTAGAATCTGAATTCTGAGAGAGAAACTAGGAATTGAGGTGACCTGGAGAGCAAAGTGCTAGCTTGCTTCATCATCTTCTACACAATTCCGAGAAAATCGAGTACAGTATAAAGTATCACTCGAGGTTTTCTGAGGTTTTATGATTTATCAAAACGGGTTTTAACGGGCGACCCATATTTTAACCCGTTTCTAATATATTAAGTCTTATAACGGCCCAATGGGCTTTTATTGTTGATTGGGGAAATCAAAAATCAGATTATAGAGAAGACGAATCTGAGAAAGCCGAAGCTGAAGAAGAAGAAGAAGACTCTAATGGCGGACTCAAACTGATTTCAGACTCAAAAGGTAGATCTTTCGAGCAATTATGATTTCGTTTTCTAGTTGAAGATCTTTAGAGGATCTTAATATCATACCAGTGTTTTGTCAGATAATTGCTTCGATAGGTTGAGAGATCGAGCATTCTTGTTTCGTCAGCAAGAAGAGATGTCAGACATTTCCATTGACGCACTGGTAAGCTTGCACTTCGTTTTTCCCTTCGTGATCTTCTAGCCTTAATCGTGGATCCTGGATCATGTATGATTGTTTCACTTCTTTTACTGGTTCGGTCTCTTATCGAAGGCTGTGTGTGTCTAATTCGTTTTGCTCTTCTATCTAAATTCATAGGGCCAAGCTATGGGCGACTACAGTAATCATGAGAAAATTGGATTTGATTTAGGAGCATTTGTCGGAGACTTGGCTTTTGAAGAAGATTCAGGCAGGTAACGTTCTCATGTTTTTTCTGTTTTTCATCTTAATTCGAGTATGACACATATGTTTCTGCTTCTCTTTATTATTCTCATTAGCATGCTCTCCTTTGATTCTATCGCACTTGATCAAATCGACATTACTCTTTTCAAATTTGATTTGTTGGGCAGTGAGGATATATCATTGGAAGGGCTTCAACAAGAACTTGAAGAATGTGAAAGTGATGAGGTACGCTATTCACTGAAGTGAGATCAAACTTTTAAAGCTGAAAATGAAGCACCTCGGTTGTTCTTTTTCTAAGTATTATTTCTACTCTCATTTAAGTTACGCTGTAGTACATGGATGGATCATAGACTGTTAGATTCATGGATATGATGTCTCTCTCTATCTTGTTTATGTGTCACCTCAGGTTGTTTCCAATATACTATCCAGTGGTGCCAAACTTAGAGAATATGCAAAAGGGGTTGAAAACAATCTACGGAAAGTTGAATTGGATTCAATTGAGGTTGCGATCTTCTTACCTGTGATACATTGTGGCACTTATTGTTTTCTACTTTTCATGTAACATATTTTTTGCGTCTAGAAGTTTGCGAATTTTTTCGATATTGTAAGCTTAAATGCTTTACCCTCCATGAATACTCAGGATTACATAAAAGAAAGTGACAACCTAGTCTCACTTCACGATCAAATTCGTGACTGTGACAGCATCCTGTCACAAATGGAAACTCTCCTCAGTGGATTTCAGGTATTTAAAAATTAGACATTTGTATTACGTGTGTATGTGTATATGGGCTTCTCTCCTTATTCTCACTTTTTCTTAGTGGGAGGAATTTGTTTACTTTGAAATACATATATTTTTCCTGGTAATCTAAATGCGCACTTTGCTTCTTTTCTTTCAGGAAGAGATTGGTTCTATAAGTTCAGACATAAAGATTCTTCAAGAAAAGTCAATGGACATGGGTTTGAGATTGAAAAACCGCAGGGTATAGCTAATCAGAAACCACTATTAGTATTATCTCTTGCTGCTTCCACACGTGACTCATCCAAATGAGCTGTACTATTGGAACAGGTGGCTGAATCAAAGCTAGCAAAATTTGTCGAAGACATTATAGTGCCACCAAAGATGATAGATGTAATTGTTGATGGAGAGGTATTTTTCAAGTTCCCCTTTTTATGTAGCTTTGGTAGGGTTGGAGATTTGGAGGATCTCATCATGTTGTGTACATGTCTAATTTTTCTTTTTGTTTCTGGTGCTGTAAAAATTACTGATTTGGTGCATATGCTGTATTCTGACTAACATAGGAAAAATAGAAAAACAACATTTTCTGGTTAAGCTTGGTATATGCTGCCACTATGTGCAATACTAAAATTTATTAGATTATCTTCATTTAGTTTTCTTACACCATGTAGTCCTATCTGTATGTCCCCTGAGTACGTGTTTGTAAAACTGTAGGGGTGCATTTAGGCCTACGTTGGATTGCTTAGGGTATTTTTATTTCTAATCTGATAGTCGTAGTATTTTCCTTATTCAGGTGAATGAGGAGTATATGAAAACGCTTGAAATTCTGAGTAAGAAGCTGAAATTTGTAGAAGCAGATCAAGCAGTTAAAAGTTCCAAAGCATTAAAAGATGTAGAGCCTGAGCTCGAAAAGCTCCGGCAAAAAGCTATTTCCAAGGTTATTGATCTACTTTCTCTGTTACTTGATACCGAACAATTATATATTTCGCTGAAGGAAGTGTGATAGGTCCAAATAGTTACGTACCTATTGACTCAAAACACATTTGATACATGCATATTTCGTAAAGTTGTTAATTGTTGGATAAATAACTACAGAAAAGTTAAGTTCCTGATATAACTCAACTTATTCTACCTCAATGAGATGAATCAATTGTTCCTTCCTTCTAAAAGATTTTATGGCCAGGAAAAGGTTGCCATCTGAGATAAATTCATGAACTTTTAGTACTGTACTAAGTCGTTTGTGTTTGTTCTCTTCTAATGCTGAAATGGCATGCACGTCGATGGAGCATTCTAGATGTGTTCTCATGCAATAGATTTAAATTCGTTTGTAGGTATATGATTTTATTGTCCAGAAGCTTATAGCCCTGAGGAAACCCAAAACAAACATTCAGATTCTTCAACAGAGTGTGTTATTAAAGTACAAGTGAGTTATGCTCTCCAGTCCCCTTTATTTGGTTTTACATAGTGAAACTACAATTGGACAACGTCTCCTGTCTTGCATGTATGTTTCTGTTAACTTTTTATCTGCATGTGTATGTGGTCATCACCTTACAAACGATTTGGTTAGTTATCTTGCTTTTGATTTTGCCTGGCGGAGTTGTTTTATTTTACATGTTACTGATATCCAACTTGATATTATATTGCTTCTACAAGATTTATGTGGATACATACTTCATTCACAAATTACAATTTAATGGTAGGTATATTATCTCCTTCCTCAAAGAACATGGAAAAGAAGTATTTATGGATGTCCGTGCTGCATACATTGATACCATGAACAAGGTGATATTCTTTATCTTGATTGATTGCTTGCACCATGCTGCAACTCCTTTATATAGTTTTAGTTGGATGAGGAAGGATACACAGATAGATTTGACTTAGGTTAATCTCCGCAGATGTAAGGTAGTGAGTACAACATCCAATTGTACGTTACATGCAAGTAGTTCTTCTATTCTTGTATTCTCACTAGAATTGGACAAAGCTAGTTGTTTTCTTTGTTGATTGGGCTGTGATGATTAAAGGCTGTATGCAGGTTAGATAAAATTGCTGTTTGTTAGCTTAGGCTTTCAAATGTTATTACACCTAATGTATTGTATGATCTCGTTTCAGGTGTTAAGTGCACATTTTCGTGCTTATATTCAAGCACTTGAGAAACTACAGTTAGATATAGCCACAGCATATGACTTAATTGGGGTAGAGACTAGAACCACCGGCCTCTTCTCAAGAGCTAGGGAACCACTAAAGAACCGCTCTGCCGTTTTTGCTTTGGGTGAGAGGATAAAAATTATAAAGGTATGCATCATTCAGCAGTTACAATTGTTGATTGATTTGTTCGACCATTCCACATGCTCTGGCGAATTTTCTTTACACAAAATGAGTTGCTTTTCTGACTCTTAATACAAAAGATGGTTCTAGGTCTGCGTCTTTACAAATAAATTAGTTGTTGTATTAACCTAATGTACACCATTAGTTTTATTGAGGAGTGTCCACTTTGGTTTTGGTTCAGATATTTTTGTTTTAGGTTATAAATTATAGGAATCAAATATCTTGGTTCATTTCTGTTTTGGTTTTTTTAACAATATGTATCCTTAATTTTAAGGCTCCTCAAATAGATGTAAGTTTTGATTTGTTTTCCTCATTTTCAATTTGGATTAATGTGTTATTGATTTGGTTATTCTGCTATAGAAGAAGTAAATCGAAAGTTTGTTTGATTTTAACCGTATTGGTTACCCTTATTATATTCTAAAAGTTTCTTAAAAGACTTAAGTTTCAGTATGACCACTGTAGGAAATTGATCAACCTGCTTTGATCCCGCACATAGCCGAAGCCAGCTCTCTCAAATATCCTTATGAAGTGCTCTTCAGGAGCTTGCACAAGCTACTTATGGATACAGCTACTTCTGAGTTCTGTTGATCTTTCCCCATTTATATTTGTGTTATTGTTGCTCATCGCTTAACACCCTGGTTAACGTCATATGTTTTCATTTTAACAGGTATATATTTTGTGATGATTTCTTTGGTGAAGAGTCCATATTCTATGAAATTTTTGCGGGTAATTTCTAATCTGTTTCACTTTTGCTATACCAAACTTTGTGGATTTTGTTAGCTGTGTAGAAGTACATGTGTATTTCTTGTATTACTGCTATACCAAATTTGATATAGATTGCTGAACCCCTTCTACTTTACAATTGATATGATAATAGTAGCACTTTGTTTTGGATAAAATCTGAAATTTCCATGATACAGGTCCATTTTCTGTCATCGATGAGCACTTCAATCCCGTTCTTTCAAACTGTTTTGATGCTATCGGCCTGATGCTTATGATTCGCATAATACACCACCACCAGGTATTAACGATGACCCAATTACTAGTTTTATCTGTGTTTTGGTGAATATCTTGGAATTAGGTAATCTAGTGAGCTTCCCTTTTGAACTTTTCTAGTCGCCCACATATGTGAGTATGCATTAAAAGTTAGTGGTCTAGTGAAGTATGGTTAGACATTTATCAACTCGGCATTGGAAAGAGTTCTCTTAATATCTTGCAAACTAACGATTCAGATATACCTTCAACTGGTCCACATAGGCGTACCACAACCAGTCTATATTTTGCCTCTAAC